GGGCGAAAATTGGTTACCTGGGTCGGAGCTCACCATGCCCCAGTGCCACCCCGGAAAAACTGTTGCTTTATCCCAAAGGCCGCGTAGACCTCTTTAGTTTGATTCGCCGCGAGTCACCGCCCTCCCACTTCTGCCTGCTTTGGCCTGGGCGACGAAAATAATCATATACATTGCAAACTAGGGTTTTCTCGTCCCGGACTGAGCTGGTGTCTGCGTTGCATTGCACTTCCCTGAAATGAAAGAAGATGAAGAGTCTTAATTTATGGCAGAAGGAACTACGAAATCTCAGCTTTTCTATTGTGGTAAAGTGCTTTCTCAGAAATAAGAGAATGGGCCTGACGCGGGGTCACTATCCCGAATCAATGACACTCTCAAGTGATTAGAGAGGATTTGGGTTGGCTGGCACGATGCAAGTTGCCGGTGGTGGATTAGCCATGACGAGCAGCGCCCCGTATGAAGTGACGATGGATCTGGTATGAGCGATGTACGAGAAGGCAAGATCCACCAAGACTTACCTCGGATCCACCCTTACTTGGATTCACCTAAATGGATATGGGATATACTATACAAGAGTGGATCGGGTGTGGATCCTATGAAGAAAGGATGGTAGGTGCCCTCTAAAGGTGGATCTAGTAGCCACGGCTAACGAGGAGTCAAGATCCACCGCGAGGTGACCCGGATCCCATGCTTTCGAGTTAGGATCCAAGGAGGGAGGATCCCGCCTTAAGGGACCTGGATCCAGGGTATAGGTATGATGGATGCAGTGGATCTAGAACTTTCGTGGGACAGTGGAGATCACAGACGGTTGCGAGATGATGTTGGATGAGTGGATAGCTCAGATCCACGACGAGTGTACCATTACAGTGAGGTGGATCCAAGCGACCTGGATCCGGATGAGTGTACCCATAATAGGGTGACCATGATGATTACGTCATATATCCGGTGGATCTGAAGATAACACAGCTGGGATGATGGGTCAAGGGAAGAAGGGACATGCAGCCGAGCCTGGTAAGGGATTTAGCAGATGAAAGACATAGAAGGTAGAAACCCAGGCAGGTATAGGCTTAAATATCAATACAGACCTCAATTTGCACAGTATCACGCAAGTGCCTTCCTGCCCTCAAGAACCGGAACTACATTGGCCGTACGAGCTCCGAGAAGGTTGGGAATTGCGAATCTAGTGTTGGTAGTGATAACTGGATAGTACATTGGCCAGATCCTACAACCTAGTGAGCTTTTCCTTTACTCGTGCAGATCCGACAGGTTAACCGAATTTACTACTTGGTCGGTTACACCCTAGAGGTTCTCAACTCTCAAGATCCCGTCACCGGAGGCGGCAAGTACGACTTAAAGGACAACACAAAGGCAAGGGAACACACCCGCAAGGCAACCCTACGGCTAGATCCACGATCTAGGCCCCGGATCCATAAGCTCGAATATTCGCTTAGGATACGGAACCATCCACGGACGCAGAGTGAAGATTTTCCACTGCTGCTCCACCCCATCCCCACGTCTCGCCAAGACACTCAAGCTTCACCACTTGAACTCTTCGGAAGTTACCGAGAGAGCAGATCCCGCCCTACCGACGGGTACACAAGGTGAGGAAAGTTCAGCAGAACACGGATCATCGGGGGACCCCCTCCGTTAGTCGGTGTCTGGGCGCAGTTGGTAAGTTGGATCTGGCAATCTCGCAGATTTTGCTGATCCCGCTACACCACAATGGTGCGCGTGCCCGGATCTTTTGGTGACTCGGGATTTCACCGTGAGTCCCAAGAAGATGCTCAAGTGAAGATTGAGCCAGGGGAAGAGGCGTCGTCGGAGGTCGGATCGACGAAGACGCTGCTGAATGAAACAAGATCCGCGGATCGATGGAGTTTTGGGAGGAACTCTGTCGACGGAAGAGAGGTGGATCCGGATCCGGATCTAGAAGAGAAACCTCTCTATCCTCCCCAGGTCCCCTCGGGGACCCCTGCGGATCTTGACGCAAGTCAAGATCCGCTAACAAAACAAGGGAAAGTGAAGGCGAAACGGTATGCATTTGCAGATTCACCGGTTAAGCCAACACCGTACCTAAACCCAAGCCCGCTAGTCGAAGAAACGAGAAAGAAGACGAAAACGAGTAAGACTACGCGGAAAAAGATGCAAGCTCCAGAGTCGGAAGAAGACCAAGCTGGATCCAGGTCAAGCTGGTCCGACAAGGATCTCGAGTTTGTGTATCGCCACCAAGCTTTACGCGACTTCCTGCATCAAGCTCCTGTCATGCAGATCCTGAATCCACGACAGATCGAAGATCCAAGGGAACCGGTGAGAGCACCAACGAAAACGGCGAACAAGTTGGTGGCAGTCAAGGATCTATTACGTTTGCTTACGGAGTCAGGCATCGTAGCTGGTGTGTTCGACGCAGAGGATATCTTCGGGCTAGATCTGGATCTCATAGCATCCGCGACGCAGGACCTCTTTGCCAGAGTTAAGTCC